TTGTAGCCAGAACTTTTATTTGAAATATTTCAGACCTACAAAAATATAGGAGTAAAAGGTAAAGAATAAATGCAATACACTCATGAATACAGTTCCCTGATAAAGAAACAAGAAACTTCAAATAAACTTGAAGGTTCTTGGTATGTCCTATCTTATGGCATTCCCCCTCCACTCAAAGGCAACCTGAATTTGGTGTTTATCCTGTATGTGATGTGCATCATTTCATGCACTTTTCTATACTTTAAACCATGACATTTCTGTTTATGTGTTTCTCTGCAATTTGCTTTTTAAAATTTATCTGGCTGAGTATGGTGGCATATGCATATACAAGGGCGGGGGAGGCAGCTCAGTGGTGAAGCACCTTGAGTTCATTACACAATACCTAAAGAAAATAAATAAATAAACGAACAAACAAACAAATAAATTCACCTGGATTTCTGATATCTATCCATATACATAGGTATTATTCTTATTCATTATTAATATTCAACATATAACATCTATTATCCTGTTCAAAATATTCAGGTGATTTTCAATGTTTTTATTATTTTTAAAATTAGTGTTGAACTGAATTTTATTTTTAAAAGGAAATTTATAAGCAAGTTTCCAAAAGTTCTCATTCTACATTCTACCAATTCATTCTAAATTCACAGAATGCTTTCTAGAGATTAATAACATTGCTCTCAAGCAATAGAGGAAAGAGCTTAGTATACTTTAAAAAAAATTGTTGAACAAAATCAGAAAGGCAGACTCAAAGATCAGTACTCAATGATAGTATTCAAGACCATTTTATGTATTTATTTATTTTTTAGTAGTGAGGATTGATCCCAGGGTGCCTTACCACTGAGCTAACTCCTTAGTCCTATTTATCTCAGGATCTAACTAAATTCTTGAGACTGGCTGAAAACTTGCAATTCTCCTAACTCAGCCTTCTGAGTTGCTGGGATAATAGGTGTGTACCACCATACAAGCTAAAGGCATGGGTTTTTGCTTTGCTTTGCTTTTGTTGTTTGCAACTCAAGGGATGGAACCCCGGACCTCATGTATCCTAGGCAAATGCTCTACGCTGAACTACATACCAGCCCCAAATCAATGACTTATGGCCTATCACCCTGCAATAAAATTGACTCTTAAATATATCATGAGCAATTTTTCCATCTCATAATCCTTTGCCATCTATGAGAAATAACATTCAAGAAGAAGCAATGATATAAAGTCATTGCTAACAAGTAGGAGTTTTGAGTTTTTAATAACTGCATTATGTATTTACACAAATCCAATAAGGTACCACTCCTAGAATACAGTGAGCGCTCAATGTCAGGGGGAAAAAGGGAGCTCACGCTGAATACCTGTAAATAGTGAACAATATGACAATACAATCAGAAATACTTACCCTTGTCCAATTTTTTCATATGTTGTATGTTTTGTCTTAGGGTCACCAATGCTCACAATAGTTCCTATTTTAAAGAACAATAACAACAAAACATTAAAAGCTCACTCAAGCATTTTAAAGACAAATTAATTTTGGTATCATTAACCCTGCTTAATAAACTCTACTGATTTTAAAACAGTGGTTTTCAAACACATCAAGTTTCAACAATAATTTGTTTCAAACAAAACACTAAAGAAATGGCAATTCAATCTGTATATGGGGTAAAGTTGGGAGTTCATAACCCACTTGAATCAAACTGTGAAAGATGATTTATTAAGAACTGTGTAATGTTTTGAATGACCAACAATAAAAAAAAAAAAAGAAATGGCAATTCCAGCAGGATGTGGTGGCACATGCCTGTAATTCCAGTTATTCAGGAGCTGAGGCAAAAGAATCACAAGCTGGAGACCAGTCTTGGAAACTCAGTGAGATCCTGTCTCAAACCAAAAACAAAAAGGGCTGGGGTATAGCTCAGTGGTAAAGTAATCCTGGGTTCAACCCCAAGAATAGAAATAAACAAAAACTTGGCAATTCATGGGAAATTCCTCACCCTATTTTTCCTTCTCCAGTGCCTGTCTTAACACTAGTGATAAGTTATGAAACTCAATCAGTAGTAATAAATGATAGCCAAATGAATAACTCTAACTGGTTTTTCTGACTATTTCAGTATATCTCCTTTCAATATATTTAGTAAACCACCTCCTACTGTAGAGATTAATAAGAATTAATCCTGTACCTATTTTAGGAATGTTCAACATCAAGGCCAAGAAATGCTAGAATTAGGAGGTTGGATATGAAAACATAATGTAAATTCTTATGACCAGTAAGTCAAAA